CTCTTGATCAGATTAAAAATAGGAAAACAGTTGAGTTAAATAATTGAAATAATGTTTTGTTTGTTTAAAATAATGAAAATAAATTTGTTTTGTTGTTTTCAGAAACAAAATTTTCAACATGTTAATTTTTAATTTTGATTGGTTTTGAGGAAAGTCACGTGACTTGGTAGCGCAGTGATGTGCTGAAAAATATCATGAGAAAATAAAATAAAATAAAATAAAATAAAATAAAATAAAGCATATTTCCACCGAGAAAACCAATCCTAGACTATGTAGGTTTTATTTTGAAAGTCCGCGACGGAAGAGCGACTCGTTTTTTGTGCACGCGCCTTGATTGCAAGTGTGTACGTGTGTGCGCGCGTGCTGAAGGCGCCACGTCGGCAGAAGCAGCAACAACGCAGAGGAGAGAGGACCCGCGCGGCTCCGCAGAAAGTGCGGAGAAGAAGTGAAAACCTGCGGGTTCGACGCGTGAGAAAAACCCGCAGCGAGGAAACAAACCGCAGCCGCTGCTGCGTTCACTGACACGCAGAAAGTCTGTAAAAACAACAACTACAGCCTGCTGCTGGACGCTCGCGCTCCTCTCAGGTGTGCTGGAGCCGACAAACATCATGGTGAAGGTAAGAGCTCAGGTGTGCCTCGACGTGTTTCAACTGCACACCCGCGTGCGCGTTTTAGCTCCAGGTGCGTGAGAGCGGTCACAGGTGGTTCTGGTTCTGAAGGTTCTGTTCGAAAAGACAAGCTGGACTCGTGTTGGTGAGGATGGAGATGAGGTCAAGATAAAAGGTCCTGCAGGGGAAATAAGATGTTTGTGTTTTATTTTAAATAAATGTAAGTTTTCTGAGTGGATTTAAAATAAAAAAACAATCATTTGTTTTTCAGCAGAATTTAAACTCAGCTTTTTGGGATTTAAATCTACATTTTACAGGTCTGAGTAAACATGAACAACTTTAAAGATCAGGATGTTTTCACACACAGTTCCACATTTAACTTAGTTTTACTAAATAAACCTAAACTCCAGTCAGAAACAGTTTTTTTACTCTCAGCTGTGTTCAACAGAAAAGCTTTGCTTCAGATCTGGATCAGTCTGGAAGGTTTGGGAATGTTTGTCAAGTCTCAGCAGTGACGAAGAAGTGTCATGGCCGACACGTTGAACACAAACAAAAATCCTTATTTAAAAAAAACACAGAGGCAAAAATTAAATAAAACTTTTGGCTGAGAAACATCAGCGAGTCAGAAATAAGTCAGATAATTACACACAGAGCTCTGACAGGACTGTAATTTATTAAATTCATCTGCAAACAAACAGTTTTCTCTCTGTGCTGATTTATATCAGAAAGAATCTGAGCCAACAGCCACAAACTTCACTTTTACCCAACCCTCAGCTGCATTCATGCCAGAGGTTTTGTAACCAGAGAGACTCTCAGCAGGACAGCTGGGGTCTGTTTCACATTTAGCTGAAATTTACTGGATTGAACCTGAACCTGTTGCTCCAAACTGGATTCAGTGAGATGGTCTCACCTGGTCTGTTTGCCTCAGCTGAGGCTGAAACAATATAGTTTAATGAAAAGAGGAGAAAACACTGGACGTATGAAGGTTATAAACATTCAGAAAACAACAGAATGAAAGTTTCACCTGTGTGAACATAATACTCATACTACTCCTCGGTCGTACCGGCCTCGGTCACGTTTTTGTACCAGTCTCGGTCTCGTCATCGCACTGGTCTCGTCATCGTACCGGCCTTGGTCTCGTCATCGTACTGGTCTCGTCATCGTACCGGCCTTGGTCTCGTCATCGCACTGGTCACGTCATCGTACCGGCCTTGGTCTCGTCATCTTACCGGCCTTGGTCTCGTCATCTTACCGGCCTTGGTCTCGTCATCTTACCGGCCTTGGTCTTGTCATCTTACCGGCCTTGGTCTCGTCATCGTACCGGCCTTGGTCTCGTCATCGTACCGGCCTTGGTCTCGTCATCGTACCGGCCTTGGTCTCGTCATCTTACCGGCCTTGGTCTCGTCATCTTACCGGCCTTGGTCTCGTCATCGCACTGGTCACGTCATCGTACCAGCCTTGGTCTCGTCATCGTACCGGCCTTGATCTCGTCATCTTACCGGCCTTGGTCTCGTCATCGTACCGGCCTTGGTCTCGTCATCTTACCGGCCACTGTCTCATTTTTGTACTCGCATCAGTCTCGTCATCGTACCTGCCACTGTCTCGTCATCGTACCTGCCACTGTCTCATTTTTGTACTCGCATCAGTCTCGTCATCGTACCAGCCTCGGTTACATCATCGTATTGGCCTCTGTCTTGTTTTTATACCCGCCTCGGTCTCGTCATCGTACCCACCTCTGTCTCATTTTTGTACCAGCTTTGGTCACGTCATCGTACCAGAATCGGTCTAGTCATCGTACCCGCCTCTGTCTCGTCATCGTATTGGCCTTTTGTCTCGTTTTTGTACCCACCTCGGTCTCGTCATCGTACCCACCTCTCTCATTTTTGTTACCTTCTTAGTCTCATTATCGTACCCTCCTCGGTTTCATCACCTTATACTTCTTGGTCCCATCATCATACCTACATCTGTCGCATCGTATCTGCCTCACTCACTTTTTCATACCCGCCTGGGACACGTCATCTTACTCGCCTCGGTCACACCGTTGTACCATCCTTGGTCTTTTCATCGTACCTCCCTCTGTCTCACCATCCTACCTCCCTCTGTCTCACCATCCTACCTCCCTCTGTCTCACCATCCTACCTCCCTCTGTCTCACCATCCTACCCCCCTCTGTCTCACCATCCTACCCCCCTCTGTCTCACCATCCTACCCCCCTCTGTCTCAACATCATACCTCCCTGTTGTGTTGTTGTTCTGAACAGTCTGGTTCTGTTGTGTTGTTGTTCTGAACAGTCTGGTTCTGTTGTGTTGTTGTTCTGAACAGTCTGGTTCTGTTGTTGTTTCCAGGATGTAAACAGCGTGAACGTGGAGCCCCAGCCTGGGACCACCATGGCCCCGGTCGAAGCAGAACCAGCCGACGGCCAGCCTCCAGATGGTAAGCTCCTGGGACGTGTCTAAACGCTGGAACATCAGAGGGGAATATGCTGCAATCTGTGTTCTGGTGTTGCTGCTGCTATTTCAGAACCTCTTGTTTCATCAGGGGAGCGTTTGTCTGTTTGCTATTTGTGTCCCAGATCTGAGTCAGTACCAGAGGGTCTGGGGTCACCATGGTGGTTCAGACCCCCGAGGCCCCGCAGACTTCTCACCTTAAAGATTTTACACAGAGTAGTTTTATGGATGGAAAGAGGATCAGATGTGAAGCCAAAACAATAGATGGTGTCACATTTCCTAATCTAGTTTTAGGTGAGTTGAAGGTTATAATCTGACAAAATAATCCCACACTCCCAGGAATTACACTGAAAGATGAAGCATTAAAGGGAGAAATTATTCGATTTTCTGTTTTCCAAGGTTTTTTAGACAAAAAAAACAGGTGTGGACAGGTGTAAGGACTGAATCTAAAAGAAAAATTGGAGAAAATATAAAGAAAAACTCATATTTTCAGAAAATAGTTGAATTTAAAAGATCTGAGGGAAAGCTTTGAAGAAACTGGACTGGATCAGAATTTTTGCACAGTTTGACTTAAAAAAACTGTTTTTCAAAATAAAAGCCTAAAATATTTCTGATTTCCTCTTTCTCTGTGTTTCAGACTCTGGTAAAGACCACGAGCCGACGCCGCCCGGCGTGGTGTGGCGCGTGACCGGCGGCCTCTTCAACGTCACCAAGGGCGTGGTCGGCGCCGCAGTGGGCGGAGTCGCCTGGGTCGGGGGCAAGAGCCTGGAGATCACCAAGTCGGCCGTGACCACGGTGCCCTCCATGGGGGTGGGGCTGGTGAAGGGCGGAGTCTCGGCCGTGGCCGGGGGCGTGTCCAGCGTGGGCTCGACGGTGGCCAACAAGGTTCCCTTTACAGTCAAGAGGAATGACAAATCAGAGTGATGAAAAGGAGGAGGGATTCCCGCCGCTCTGAGCCAATCAGACGCCACAGTGCCTTTCTCCCACATCTGATACAGGAACTCTGCAGCTCGTAGATCTTTAACAGCRMCACCTCACCTTKCCTGGAGCGAACCAGGCTCCRGGGGCGAAACACGAGGATTTCACGAGGAGCCGACCCGAGGCTGCTCTTCCTCTTCTGCTCTTCACTCTGCAGACGTCTGCTGGACCTTTCTGTGTTAAAATGCTGATTTATTTTTTATTGTTTCTGTTTGTTTTGTTTGTTTTCCAGTGGTGTTGAAGTATTATTGTGTCTGATGGTTTTTACTCCAGCTGCAGGAACACGTCTGTGTGGAAACGCTGCCAAGGACCAGAAACATTCAGCAGCGTTACGTTTGTTGACGTCTGTCGGAGAGAAAAACACGAAACAGAAACGGGAGGAAAACCAGCTGTTCTTGTTTCAATATGTCAATAAAGTCGTTGAGAAGGTGAAATAAATGTTGAATCTGTCTCAGTTTCTGGGTTTAAAAGCTGAGTTTGAAGCCCAGTGAGTGTCCGAAGCAAAGCATGCTGGGTAACGTCTTATTATCTCTGCTCTCATTGGCTGAAGTTCACTCTGTAGGAAAACAATTCATTTCAAAGTTACTGTATTTTGTTAAAGAACAATCTTATAAACATGATTTTATCTTTTTATTTACTTTATTTTCTTCTTCCTGATGAAATAAAATGTCTTTTTTTCTCCAGGTGTAGCGTTAAGTTCCTGATTTCAACAGTTTAAAATGTGTTTTTACAAAAAAAAAAAGATTCATCACTGAGTATAAAATGGAAATTTGAAAGTTCAGAATGGTATAAAAACTAATTGTAAATCTGATTAAAACAAATGAGAACAGTGGAGGCTTATGAGTAAATCATAAAACAATAAGCAGCTGTTCACTGCTAATCCTGAGTCATTTTCAACACAAGTGAAAATATACAACCATAAATAAAAATGTTTATTGTTTTTTTTTAATGAGAAGCTTTTGAGTTTTTCTGCCTGATATCAGAGTGCAGGAG